TTTAATATCTACATGTAACATTTGGATCCGTTTTCAAACAAAAGTCAATTTTAGATTGTATTTCCTTGGCTATAAATTTCAGTTTAAATGTGCTTGGATTTTCTGTGTCCTCCAAAAGGTTTCTTAAATTCTGCTCCAAACTGACGTTCGTCTCTGATCAGGCTCTGATGGGGGGAGATGGGCTTAATCATTGTTTTCCTTGGAAAAGTTACAGGTTTGTTTTTGCCAACAATTAGAGAATTACCAGTTGGCAGAAGAATATGTTTTTTGGCAGCTTGAAGCCAAATACGTCAGTCCGAGCGTGTCCTCTGACCCGGTTGTTGTTGGTTCTGAGTGATGCTGAGCAGATTACCGGTGACCCACGGACAAAATGTTTAACTCACAATCATCTTCTTATTTTTCTAAAAGCATAGTTCTACCTTCAGAACTCATTTTTTCACCTCAGATAAAATAAATTAGTTGACTGTTTGTATTTTATGCTTGTTTTGGGGAGTGGGGGGGGCATTTCTGCAGAATTTTATGAGGAAGGCTTTTGCGTAAAATTACCGGAGATACATAGTGAATTTTAAAATAGTGATATTAAAATGGTTTTTGCTTGTTTGATGCATCAAGAAGAATACAGTCTATTAGAACATTTGAAGCTCATTTCAGTTTAAGGTCAAAATCATCCGATTTCTCACGTTGTAGTAGGTTGAGCTGTTGTGTGCCTTTTATTATTTTTTTAATTTACCGGAGAGCAGAACTGGGCACAGAATCATCACTGGATGCTCCGCCGCGTCATGTGACTCTCACAGATCTAAATTAGGCCAATAATCAGGGACGCCTGGCGGCTGAGCTGCTGAATGCACAACGTGCACATGCAACAAACTGTGAGAGCCGCTCTGCATCGGCATCCCTCTCTCCGTCACTTCACCGGATCCCGACGACGGCAGCAAAACCGGATCAACAAAATCCGTGTTTTCAGTGGCATGCTGCTGATCCACGTCTGACAAACATACCAACAGATTGAAGTCCTCCTCTTTGACCTTTGACCTTACTTTTGGGTGATTTGTTGACTCATACCTTGAAGCTTTGCCTTACAGGAAGTCATTGCAAAGTGTGCAATGAAACAGAAATTTGATCAGAACGGTGCAGTTCCTACATAGTTTTTCAAACATACGGGATGTGCAATTCTGTATATCCTTAATGTAACAACAAATATGCGAGTAAATATATTAGAACGTGAAGATTATCAGGGTTTTTTTTTTAACAGTTCTGTGAATATTGTCATCGTTGACCTATTTTCCGTCACTTTGGCTGTTTCTGTCTGTAAACAAAAACAAGTAGTAGTTGATCCCATTTTTTTTTAAGGTCACAATAACCATATAGATTTCTTTAATGTCAGATCTTCAAGACTGTGAAGGTTTGAGGACGGCGCCGCTGAGACGTTCAGCCACGTAGCAGCAGCCGAACACAAACAGAAGCTGCAGTCACACTGACAGATTACTGGAGCCTCTCTGCAGCGTTTTCAACTGTTCGCACTGTCGAAATGTAAAAAAAAAAAAAGACAAAAAATATGTTTTTTCTTCTTCCGCACACTGGATAAAACATAAGAGGAAAATTACTCAAAAGCTCCTGATTAGATGTTTCAGTTTATTTCAAATTATAGCAAAAAACAAAACATGGAGTCGAATTTGCTGTATAAGCTGTAGGTTTTATTTGGAATATTAATACAAGCCAACAAACACAAAAAATGTCCATTTACAGTCCATTTACATTTTGACAAGAAAAAAGAATTTGATCATTTTGTTTGGAATTATACACACACACACACCTTCCTGATTTAAAGCAATGTATTCATTAAGCACAAGGTCCCCCTATAGGTCACACAGTGACTGTAATCCGTTTTCACGGTGAATATGTGGCCCCACGGAGGAAGGCCTGCGCGTGTGTCTACGGTTTAAGTGTGGGAGGAAAAGGGGGAGAAGCGTGCGCACTCCGGGGCTGTAAATTACGCATGAAATAAAAAAGAAATCCCAAAAACCTCAGAACTGGATCCACTTCTGAGCCGAGGCATCCTCACCTCCTCTTCTTCTTCCTTTTTTTTAAATTTGTTTTAGGTAAAAACAAGGGAACAGGACAACATTTAATGGCATAAATTAGTAAAATATTCAGTAAAACCCAACCTTACCTCCTAAAAAAAACTCCCAACCCTCTGATTCCTTTATGGATAAACTGACTTAAAACAAACAAGTGAGAGAAATGTATTTTTAATGAGAAACCAATGAAAGTAAAACAAATTAAACAGAAATTTTGATAACACTTTACAATAAGGCTCCCCTTATTGATGGCTAATAATGTTTTTAATTCCTGTATAAACACTTTATAAAGCATTAATAACTGCTTATTATGTATTAATTAAGGGTGACAGAGAGACAAAACTGACCGGTTTCTTACCAAATAGTGAGTCAAATCTGTTCGCCTATATATTTCATCTAATGTTAAACATTTCAGACTAGCACAATAAGCATTTATAAACCATTTTTAGGATAATAATAATAATATATCTTTTAAAAAATGAGGTTTACAAATGCTTATTGTGCTTACACGGTATGAAATGCTTACTATAACTATAAAGGTGAACAGATTTGGCTCACTGGCAAGAAACTGGTCGGTTTTGTCTCTGCCCCCCTAATTAATGCATAATAAGCAGTTATTAATGCTTTATAAAGTGTTTATAGAGGATATAATAACATTAATTATTAGCCATCTATAAGGGGAGCCTTATTTTAAAGTGGTACCTAAATTTCTAACAAGATTTCCAGAGCGCGTCCCCGCGCGGCTTCTGATTGGCTCCTCTGCGTGCTCGCACGCATCATGCTCAGCCTCTTGATTGATGATTTAATTAGCCATACAGAGGCGGGCTGCAGTAGGACAGGACCCCCAAATAATACTTTATTTACATAACCAATCAGGGCGATGCAAAGGTGGAGCCTCCACCCCACCCATCTCTGTGTGTGCGCGCGTGCGCGCGCGCCGAGGTGCGGGCTTCATCCTGTCAGACTGAGTCCACAACCTCACCTCTGTAATAATTCATTTAATGTGTAATTGGTTTGTTTCTGTGCGTAAAAGTGTCCATTCGTGCGTAATTTTGCGTTCCAAAATCAATATGGCGCAAATAACAATAATAATAAAAAAAAGAGCATAAGCGCGTGCTTAAATTAAAAGGAACTGTGCGCAAAGTTCGCGTGCACATGGAAGCAGGAAAACACAAGTTTCTCAGACTTAAAAATCCAAGCCGGCGCGTGCAGCTCCTATAATTAATAATTCTTATATTGATGAAATGATCTCGTTTGGACGCAACTCTAATGACTCTGATGCCATAATTTCAAACCGAATCTGCAGGGGGGGGGGGGGGAAGCGGCCCAACTGAACTTGGGAGACAGGTTCAGATGTGCGCGTTGAGAGAAAAGTCATCCTTACGTGAAGTGCGTGAAGTTCCAGCAGTTTGCGCTCTTATTTCAAAACAAACGAAGAAGAAGTCGACTGTCCTCCGCGCCGACGCTCCAACGGAGAGATGTCCAAACAGAGAGGAGATTGAGGGGAGGAAGAGAAAGAAAAAAAAGGGGGGGGGGGGGGGGGGGGAAGAGGGGAAAAGGAGGGAGGGGATAAAAAAAAAAAAAAAACTTCAACCCAGAAGATGCTCACGTTTGACTCTCCTCAATTATCCCCTCCCGTGAAGATAGGTGGCGTGCGTTTCAGGGGGCTCCTCTGCGCTGCACGGCGGAGAAAAGGAGGTGGAAAGAGGGAAAAAAAAAATGTCATTAGAAGAGGCGTAACACGTCAGTCCCTACCCAGGTTTGTTTCCTGGAGTGGGTGTAAGACATCAGTTGTAAACCTGCCCTAGCAGGAATAGCGGTCCCTCCCTCCTCTCAACTATTTCTAAGGCTTTATTTCTAAGGTTTGCTGCTCACCGGCGGAGCAGGACGCGCTCCGGGATCATCCCTCCTCAGCAGCTCCCCGTCCGAAAGACGCTTTTTACGCATTTGCTCCTGGAAACATCAACAACAACAACAAAATAAAAGAACAGGTATGTTGTTTATTTTAATCTATATATGTGTATTTTTTTTTTTTCCGTTGGTTTTGTTTTTTATTTCCATCGGAGAGTTCGATTTTTCAAACTTGCCGCGCGTCAGTTTTGGAGCGCTTACCTGCGCAGGTGGAGGAAGGTGCGTTTAAAAGCAAGCGGAAAAAAGAGTGCCGGAGAAGCGAGGTGCTTGCGAGCGGTGCAGCAAGACATCCATCCATTCCACCCCCACGGCTCGGCTCTGCTCAGCACGGCTCAGACCAGAGCAGCCAGCTGAGAGCACGGAGATCCGGACCGCTCCGGACTCTTTTCTCTCTTTATTGTTTTTTTTATTTTTGTATTTGTTTTTGGAGAATCTTTTGTTTTTGCGCAGTTTGCGCTTTAACCCGGAGTCTTTTATTTTGTAAAATTTTTTGGGCACATTAACGCAGTTCTCCTCCTCTCTCGGTTGTTATATCCAACTCACAGCGCACTTTTTTTTTTTTTAACTGTTTGCTGAAGTTCCAGCGCTTTCACTCCAAACTCTCACTTCTTCTTTTTTTTTTTTTTTTCCTCCAAATCCTCTAAATTGGAGTTTTGACGCTTGGATGAAGAAGGCGGAAATTGTTATTATTTATTTAGTTATTTTTAAATAGGGGGAGGAAAACAAGTTTGTTTTTTTAATTAAGTTCGAATTAATTCTGTTCAAAGCTGAAATATTTTGAACACCACCCCTCATTTGTTTGTCACTTTCACCTTTTTAATCCCTAATCCATGAAGTCCAAGGTTTTTACGCACGCTCGCCGCTGACGCTCTCCGCTCCTCTGTGTTTGTTTCCCGTCAGATATCAAGCTTGAAACCAAGGAGTCCATGCGAGCTGCCATCTGATCTTCACCCCCCCGCCCCCCCTATACCCCGCTACCCCCCCCCCCCCAGCCCCCCCTCACCACCACACACACGCTTATCAATGAAGCAGGAGATCATGGCGGATGGCCCCAGGTGTAAGAGGCGAAAACAAGCCAATCCGAGGCGGAAAAACGGTAAGAAAATCCCGGGGAGAAGCTGAGGTGGAGGCTGTTTGGGGAGTGGGGGGGTTGTCTGTGGATGGGAGCCGCGGTTGGAGGCTTCCGCAGCGACTAATAGGGAGGGGGGAGTGAGAGTCCGGCGGCCGGTGCGCAGGAGGACCGTTATATCCAAGGCGCACTGACGCTCCACCCGCCTGGACCTGATTTCTTTCATTTATTTGTATTTCCTATTATTATTATTATTATTACTAATAATAATATTATTAATAATAATAATAATAATAATGGTTGCTGCTTGAAATAGTTTGTCTTGTTGAGAAGTTGTGGATGTGAAAGTTGGGGTTTCTTCTCCATAAAGAGGAGATAAGGGTATAGCAGACCCCATGTTTTTTTTTTTGTTTTTTGTTTTTTAATATATATATAAATATATAAAAGTTTGACTTAAATTTGTTTAATTTAAATCCGTGCAAACGTGTACATCTAATTTAATATATTTAAAAGTGGGAAAGCGTTTCCGAGTTAATTCACAGGAGGTGACGTTTGCTTTGGTTTCTCTTCCAAATGAGGCTTTAACTCGTTTTTTAAAGTTTCTCTGTAGAGGAAAGACAAAAAAATATGACTTTGCCGGATAGATGCTGGATATTATTTGGGTCTGGGCTGGGGAGGGAAAGGCTATCCTGCTGCTTTCTGTGCTTCCCCCACCCACCCCCTTGTTTGGCTGCACTGCTTCCCACCAGAGGCAGATCCGCGGTGACATTTCCTGGCCCCGTTCCTCCGGATCCGTCCAAACACGAGCGGAGCTCCCTCTCGCTCGCTTTATCTGCTCCGGTTTTTTTAATCTCATGCCCCCACAGGTTATTCATCTAGATCAGATTTCATTCATCGATCGCTTCCAATCAATAGCAGACAAGCTTCTTCTTTTTTTATTTATTTTTTTTTGCTCCACACCAAGCAGAGTGCTGGATTTTAAGCAAAAACCGGAATAAAAAAGCACGTTCTTCAGCCTGTTTAGCCACCTGTTTTGTAAAAATAAAAAAAAAACAAGTAAAAGGGAGGAATGAGACGGACACACTTGGCTTTTGTTGCAAATGATAAAATAATATTAGCAAAGCAAATATAATTTTCACACCCTTAAAGCTGACAAGAGGCGACAAGAGTGTGGAAGGAGTATTTTTATCTCCAACAATAGCTTTGCTTTTAAGAAACCAAATAAACAGGTTTTTTTTTTCTTCTTCTTTTCATAACAAGATTGTCTGATGTCTCCCCTCCTCCTCACCCCTGTCCTCCACCCACCCTTTGGGAATGCAAAGGCTTGGCCACTCGTCTCTCTCCCCACCAACACCCTCCCTTGTCTGTCCTCTTCCTGCCTGGCTCGGTGGAGGGATGGCAGGGCGAGGCGTGCGCGGCGGCCGGCTGCCGAGCTCGAACCAGGAGGAAAAAAGAACATAAAACCGCACGCCGAGGGGACGTTTCTCGTCTTCGTGTAAAATCCGAACGTGAACGATGATAAATCATTCAAGAGTTCAGTTTGGATCCGGGCGTCTTCGGGTTTTGCTGCAAATCTGTGGGGGAAAATAAACGAGAAAAACCCTCCAAGTAATATATACTTTTCAGATTTTTAAAATTAAATATTGTCGCTACAGTAATGGCATTCTCCTCCGGATAACTGTTGGCCTTCAGAGTTGGGGGGGGGGGGGGGACAGTGGCTTTACTCAACCACTGCCCCACTCTGTGTCCTCTTTAACCACAGCTGTCTCCAAACCACCGCGCTCTTAAGGAGAGGGGGGAAAAACGATTTGAGTTCATCGCCATGAAGAACAAACACAACAAATATTGGGGGGGGGGGGTGCTTCTCCTTTCCCGATGTGAAACTTGATCTGAGTGGCGTGAAAAGAGTTCGGCCCCCGCCAGGTGTTGCTTGTCGAGCCCAGCTGTGAGCGGCCGACAGGAACGCACACCTGATCTGACTCGTTAGCGTTAAAAATAAATAACAACAGCTCCTGTTGATTCTATTAGCGTCCTCCGTCTGCTTGGATTATAAGATGCAGATGTTTATTTTATTTTATTTTTCATCCCCCCCCCCCCCCCCACTACCTTCTCCACATGACTCCTGAGTGTCGGGCCATTCCCTTGTGGATTACATAATCTGAACCAGCAGCAGAAGAAGCAGAACCCTCCCGTCTCTGTTTGATGGAACTGTCTGCATTAAGGCTCCCACAGATTAAGGTGTGGGGGGGGGGGGGTAAACGAGGGGTGAAAATAGAATGGGGGGGGAGGTATTCAGGACCCAGACAATGCCAGATTTCTGCCAATCTAAACAATTTGTCCATCTCTATTATTCCCACGCCTTTCTCCTTCCTTCTTTTCCCAGATTTTTCCTCCTCAAGGTAGAGGCAGTTTTTTTTTTTTTTTTTGCCCTCGCCTCCCAGCATGATGGGGGGGTTAAGACGTGTAGGAGGGGGGAATATCAGGGAGGAGGAGGGCTCTTTTCACAGGGCGCTCACGGACAATTGATTGTCAGCAGTAATGTGTTTCATTTACATGTTTATACCATCAATAGTGACGGGGAAG